GCGGGGCCGAGGAGTGGCTGCGATCTGCGGGCGTCGGAACCAGACCTCTGCTCATGAATGCGGCGCCAGAGGGGAACGTCTCTAAGCGTCAGACTCCAAGTCATTCTAGCCCGGGGGGGACAAGACAGGGCCGCAGTGTCACGGGACCCGGATCAAGCACCGCAAGACACGGAGGAGTCGATGCAGAACCCCATGGGTTTTCTTACAACCTCCAAACGTCAGCTCATCCAAAACTCGGGTCTGAGCATCCGCTCTCCTAGATTCCTGTTTGCAGGCAGAACCTGAAGTTCTAGCCACGGTCTCGGTGCTTCGGTTCCTCGGTCCCATGTCGGGCTCACGCTCCCCACATCGGAGAGCCTGAAGAATAAACTTGAAACCAGTTCTCGGAAGTGGCACGTCTGAGTGCAGTTTGCTGAAGGCTTTCCCGCCAAGGAGGCCTCCACGCAATGGCAGGGGGAATACATCACCCGGGAAGGGGCGCTGTCTCTGACCTACCCACCCCCTTGCTCAGCGAATGAGCCACGGACGATGGCTTGGGGTCCTCAGAGAATTCTGTGTGAGGTCACCGCCTCACGGGTGTGAGAATGCAGGGGTCCTGGGCACGCAGCAGGACTAATCCACCGTCCTGGGCAGACCCCGCAGCCAGCCTCCTGCTGCACCGGGACTCTTGCCTGCGTTCTCGGAAGGTCTGTCTTGTCCCACAGCACCGATGGAACACACCGTGGGTTTCTTCTCTAAGCTTATATTAAACGGGTATGAATAAAATGCCACTTGCAGGAAGGAGAAGTTATAATTGGGTTATGAGGTGCTTTTACTCTTTCAAAGCCCCATGCTTAAGATGAGGACAGGAGAATGCTACAGGCTGAATGTTTATGTCCCCTCGGATTTTATGTGTTGGAACCTAATGCCCAAGGTGACGGCATTAGGAGGGGGGGCCTTTGGGGGTCATTAGATCATGAGGGCGGAGCCCTCAGGAGTGGAGTTAGTGCCCTGATGAAAGACGCCCACCACCGTGGGGAGAAGACACTGGGTGGGAACTGGGAGACAGAACCTCACCACGCACCAGTTCTGCTGGTGCCTTGACCTTGGACTTCCCGGCCTTCAGAGCTGTGATGAGCTGCAATATATGATTAAAATAATTGTCTGGAATATCCCAGGAAGGCTACGTACAGCTGTTCTGCAGCAAGGGGCGGGGACTCTATTTTAGTTTATTCCACAGCCACTCACACACTCTGCACCTCGAATGGCAACGTCCACATCAGTTCTGTTTCCTGTGTTTCGCCAAGGACTACAGGTCAAAAGTGTAATTCTGATCTCGGGATCTGTGTTGTTCAAAGGTCACTGGGTCCATGGCATCCTGTTACAGCAGCCCGAACAGACTGAGACAAAGAGACAGGTGTTTCTGCTCTAACGCGGCAAATACAAGTCAGCAAAAACTTGTTGTCTGCAAAATCTCGCGCGATGAAAACAAGTTCATGGGAAAAGTAGGCTTCACAATCCATGTAGTTCTGTAATCAGAAGACTTAAAAAAGAAGTCAGTCCTAAAAAACTACTAGCAGTTAAGGAAACATGCAAAACTGATTTTTAAAAAAGTGTAATATAGCTGTAATACTAGAATTGGACATTTAAAAAATCCATGGCAAAGGCAGTACAACAAAGGGGGGATAAGGAAGAATGGCAGCGGCTGATTTGGGGGTCAAGAGCAAAATGGGCAAAAAAAACAAACCCCTGATCAACAAGCCTCCTAAAACCTGTCCTCCCCGCCCGCCCCCGCCCCGGAGCCCACGGGGTGCGGAGAGCGAGCACAGGATGGAGCGCTCCTGAGGTCTGCACTCAGCCGCCCTGGTGCCCTCCGGGGCCAGACACTGGCGCCTGGGCCCCCAAAACACGAATGTCCTGGCAAAAATGACGCACAAACCACCACTTCCATGTCACAATGACATCATTCCGTATCTGCCAATCACCTGTGAACGAATGCATTCAAGTAAAACACAGGCAATAGCAGAGCAGCCCGCGCCACCGCCTTCGAGGAGACACCCTCCCAGCAGCCACGGCGCCCCTCAGCTCGGCAGCCAACTGCCCAGAAACGTGTAGTGAGCCCGGACAGAGGGGCGGACACCGTGCGCGGTGTGGGGCACTCAGGGGAACAAGAGTCACACTCTCCGCAAGATCCTCATTTGACGAGGGTGACGGATGAGTAAATCCGTGCGAGGTAATTGTCAGGAAAGAGGGGTGGGCGTGCTTTAATCCGTGCCCGGAGCTTCTGTCTGTGGATGGGGAGGGGAGGTGGTGCCGGGGTTCGAGAAGTCGTCAGGAGCAGCCACTCCAGGCTTCCGGCGGCTGGAGTTCCCACCCTGCCTCTCCCGGGAGAGGCAGATAACGCCCGGGGAAACACGCCAACCGTCACTCAGGAGCACAGCACCGCAAGGAAATAAAGGGGGCTGGTCACACGGGGCCCAGTGAGGAGCTGACCCCAAGGGCATCTGGAAGCTACCAGATGCTTGAAGCAAAGTCGTGAGATGATCCAGTAAACGTTTTAGAATCCTAAGTCACCGACTTTCACCCTTCAGTGAATCCTGGGAATGCTTGGGACTCCCACTTTACCTATGAGGCAGCTGGGGCTCTGAGACCACCGTCCCCGAGGTCCCAGGTCTGCAAGTGTCAAGGTCGAGGGCTGAACTCTGCATGCCTGGCTGTGACGTCTGCCTGCCCTGCCACACTCCGCCGGCGGGATTCCCAGCCGGAAGCACGCAACCCCTCACCCCCGCCCCCACCCCCAGACTGAGGACTCACAGGGCCTTCCCGCTGCAGACTGGAAGTGGGGGCGAATGGGAACACCTCCTCTTTGATAAAGGGCCACTTCACATGTAGAGAAAGTAGTCAAGGCATCAGCGACAGCTCCCAAGTAGTGCACAACGCCCCCGCGCCCGGGGGGGGTCTCCCCTGGGTGGGTCTCCCCTGGGTGGGTCCGACTTCACTGACTCGGAGGGCGGAGCCAATTCAAGGTGCCGGGGGCACTTGGATTTTTAATCATTGCCCCCGCCCCCCAGACTTCGAGAGTGCGTTCTCAAAGCAGAGTCCACTTGTACACGTCCAAACCTTCTTCACAGCTATTATTTTTTTTAAAAAAAAAAAGAAGGAATATGCCCTGGCTGGCGTATGGATTGAGCGTGGGCTGCGAACCAAAGCATCGCAGGTTCGATTCCCAGTCAGGGCACATGTTTGAGTTGCAGGCCACAATCCCCAGTAACCGCACACTGATGCTTCTCTCTCTCTCTCTCCTCCCTTCCCTCTCTAAAAATAAATAAATAAAATTTAAAAAATAAAAAATAATAAAAAAGAAGGGATATGTATAAACCCACTTTGGCTTTCACTGAAGTTAGTGGTGGAAACGCCTGGCCTGCATTCTCCTGAACTGCAAAGCGGTGACGGTTGAGCGGGTGGAGAGTCCCTCCGACACGGTCCAGGGACAAGGGCGGAGGGCGGGGCAGAAGCCTGGAGCTGGCGCGCTGCTCAGATGCCCTGCCCCCACGAGTCCCCAGGGAAGGGGCCTCGTCCACTCGTGTCCGGTCCCAGCACAGCGGCTCCCCAGAGTGCCAGTTTACAGTGACCACAGGTGTCGGCTCTGCCGCTGGGAGGTGGTGAGTCCTCTGGGCCCCCACGTCTCAGGGGTAAAAGGACCACACCCTCCCAGAAGGCTTGATGAGATGGAGCTTTGGCAAAAAGAGTTTGGAAACCACGGCCAGTCATAAGCAGGTGGGGAAACTACGAGAGAGCCAGGCTGTTAGAGGACCCCCCGGGACAGTGTGAGGTCAAACGCTCAGCTGAGCGAGGACGAGTCAGCAGAGGCTGGAGCCGGCGGCAAAGGGCATTGTAGGGGGGTTGGCAGGATCCAGGCCCCTCCCTGACAGAAAAGTCCACGTGCGAGTCCTAGAACATGTGCACATGCCAGCTCACACGCAGCGGGGACGGAGGCTGCACATGCAGTCAAGGCTGCTTGAGACGAGGAGGTGACGCTGGGCTGCCCAGGTGGGCCACGCCGTCACAGGTCCTTATCAGGGGAAGAGGGGGAACGTTGGGGGAAGAGGGACCCCACCTGCCATCGCCGGCTTCGAAGAAGGGGGGAATGCAGGTGCCTCAAGGAGCTGGAAGGGGCGAGGGCACGGACTCTCTGCTAGAGCCGCCAGAGGGAGCACAGCTCTGCCCCCTCCTGGGTTTTAGCCCGGGGGGACTTCCGTCCTCCAGGATGGTAAGAGAATGCACACGTGTGTGTGTGTGTGTGTGTGTGTGTGTGTGTGTGTGTAAGCGGCTGCGTTTATAAGTTCTCACAGCAGCAGGAGGTCACGAATGCCATGGATGAAACAGATTTCCGCCCCTCGTGCCCGGTGGAGGGGAGGGGGGCTGCAGGCAGGGCGCCCGCTTGAGACGAGGCCCAGAGCCCCAAAGTGCACGGTGCGTGGGGTGTGCAAGGAGCTCACCTTCTGGGAGCAGGACCTTGACAGTCACAAGGGCCAGGGCTGCGGTGGCCCCTGGGTCTCAGGGAGGCAGGCCGGACACCCAGTGCCAGGAGAGCCACCGAGGGTTTGACCTGGGGGAGCCACAGAACAGCCAGGAAGAGGTGGGGGCGGCAGGGGGCATGAAGAAGCAGCGGCAAACAGGAGAGAGGGGACAAAGGCCGCTGCTTACCATGGCTGCGGGGCTCAGCGGTCTCCTCCTGCCCTCGCCAGACACGTCCCAGGCAAGCGGACTGCCTGGGGTCCAGGCGTGAGCAGGACCCTTTTTACGAAGGTGTCCTCAGAAGAGACGCCTCTCCTGGCCCTCTGTCTCTGGGAGAGGGGGGTTTTGTGGCTAAGCCTTTCCTGTGGTGGTGGGGGTAGGGGTTCGGGCTAACACACGTTAGATGCCCCGGGCGGTGCCTGACCCCAGCTCAGCCAGCCACCGAGCGTCTGCGCCCAGAGCGGCTAGCCACGCTCGTCAGAGCCCTTCCCCGGGGCCGGTACCTGGATGTTGAGTCGCCCCCGGTGCGCCCCCAGGCCGTAGCGCTTCACTGTGGACGCGTGGAGCTGGAAGTCTGTGATTTTCAGGGTTTCCAGACCAAGAGGCGGGCAACCTGGAAAGGACAGCGCTTGTTACCAACAAGGACCGATGTGGAAAGGAACGAGGTTCTGGTTTTCTGAATCTGGCCGCGCGAGTGCTTTCCCATTTCCCACCCCCCCACCCCGGCCCCGAACTCTGGCTCCAGCCCCGCACCCGGGCATGCTCAGTGTGTCTCCGGGCAAGTACTGTCGATTCATCGGTCGACACTGTGCCAACTTTCCGCTCCGGGCGTTTCTGCCCGGATATGCCCTCTCTCCCTGCTGTTGTCCCTGCTACCGTCGGAGGCTGTTTCCAATCAAGGGCCCTTCCACGGTGTGACTCAGCCAGGAGCGGTGCTGGTTAGCAGTTTCAGGGCGGCCCTGCGGCTGAGCTCTGCCAATGACGGAGCTTAACTGACCTCGCTCCGGCAGCCTTGGCCTCTGCACGGTGCACGCTGATGTGCAAAGCCATACTAACAGGAAAAACATATAGCAGCTTTTGTTCTTGGCAACGCGGGTAACTTGGAGAAGGGCTATTAAGCACAGTGTGGTCCCAGCTTCCCCGGAATGAGATGTCAGCCCTGGGCCAGGCCCCCGGCCACCGTCCCAGGCCAACCCATGGTCCCTACAAATGAGAGGCTGACCGGCAGCCCCAGGGCCGGCGCCCAGGCCTCCTGACTCCCGGGCAGCTGTTCTCGCCACCCACCCGGCATCAGACCAGAAATCTCCAAGCCGTGCTGCGTCCTTCCGATTCAACCCTGGAGGAAGACAGCAAAAGCCCCACAGTGGAAGTGAACGAAGTCTGTTTCTACGAGAAGCATCGGAAAGTCCCTAAGGTAAGGAAGCCCACGGCCGTCACACAGCCGGGATGCTCTGTCCGCGGCCACGTCAGAAAACGTCCACTCCGGTCCACTCCTGAGATGACGTGACAACCAGCAAAGCCGCTCCCTGGGTCCACAGCCCGGCTGACAGTGTGACAGTGGGTGCCTCCCCGCTCCTTCAGAGGGGAGCTCCCACACACACACACACACACACACACACACACACACACACTCTCGGTGGCTCACAAGTGCAGTCCTAATAAGGAAGTTTCTCCTTATCGGAGGGCACTATCTTTAGAGCGGTTTGGAAGCCTTCGCCATCATCCACGCTAGTCGTGAAGAAGCTAGAGGTGCTTCCCGCTGAGAAAGTGCACACCGTGGACGGGCAAAGGCGAAGTCACGATGCCCGGGGGTGGGAGGCTCCTTCACATGTGAGGACCAGCCACAGTTCCCCTGAAGAGGAACTGTCATCATCGGAGCGATGGCAGGAATCTCACCAGGGAGGGACCAGGGCAGGGACACAGAACAGCTGGAGGGCGGAGCCACCAGGGCCCTGGTCCTCCGGGCGGCAGGTACCGCCAACCACGTGCTCCCAGGGGGACGGGGTCCCACAGCATCACACCTGGCGGGGGTCTCCCTTCGACTTCACGCCACCCCTCCCAGAGAGGGCCTGACTCGCCTTGTCACATGTCTGCTGCTGCTGGGAATCGGGTGCCGTGGTTAGCAGGGACATTAGTGCAAAGACGCGGTCGACACCGGTGTAGGGCAGGCTGCCTGCCCAGCGTTGCCGGGAGAGACCAGCTTTTGTGTGGCTGAGGCGCAGGCCACGGGCCCTGCCAGCCTCTTTCCCTCACTCGACACCCACCGTCTCCTCTGCCTCTCCCCCCACGCCACTCCTGGATCCTGCGGTCTGCGCTCTGGCTTCTGTCTGTAAGCGGGGAGGCTCTCCTCACGTGGGGGCCCCTTGGGACTCCTGGGCCTCTTCCTCGTGTCCCTGCGTTCTGCCCCCTCCCCCTCCCGACCCACGGCAGTCAACAAGACGGCACACTGCCCCCTCAACTAGCGGGACCAAATCACGTGCTCGCAGAGTCTAACTCAGAACCCCACTCGTGAGCACATACGGGCACCCACGACCCCGTGACCTGACGCACGTTGAACCTGCTTGTCAGCAGGAGCCCCGGTGGCTCCGGAGGCTGCAGCAGGCGCCCGAGTCGCCCTCCCCGGGGCCAGCGCTGAAGAACTCTGCAAGGCTGTGGCGGCTCCCGCCTGCCTCCGCGGCACCCCCGGGTCCCCCACGGGCCGACGGCCGGAGCCCCAGTGGGGGTCGGAGACTCAGCACCCGGCGTCCTCACCCCCACGCAGCAGGCCGATCTGTCTTCCTCCAAATCTCCCCGCACGCCTCCTTCCCTGGAGAGTCCCCATGCCCTCCCTTCGGCCCACTGTCTGATTCCCACGGACTTTCACTCCGCTCCTGATGCTGCATGCCCCCGCCCACCCCCCACCCCCCCCCCCCGGGCTCTGAGGACACTGCAGGCTGCGCTAGCTGCCAGTCACCCGCCTTCCCCGAATCACGTCTGAAAACATCGTGGAATCAGCGAACAGGGTGGGAACAAAAGCTTTAAGCACACACTCTCGACGCCACCGGTCTGCACACAGAGACGCCCCAGGCAGCAATCCCGGGTCCGAATCGCGCCGACCCTGACGAGCCGCGAGGCCCCTGGAACCACCGAGACTCAGAGTGCGGCCCAGGAATCTCCCCGGTTAGAAAAACGAAGGATTTTCCCACACGGGAGGACAGGAAAATGAGGGGCAGGGCAAGAATGTTTTGCTTTAAAGATGCAAAATTAACCCAAAACACAGAGTCCTGAAGGGTTCTCCATGATCAATACTTGACTCTGAGGAATTTCAATCTATTTCACCCGGATTCACTTCCCTCCTCTTCTTTTTCCCACCTCAGGACCACCCCCTTCAAGGCTTTCGCCACGTCTGCTCCGCGTCCAGACCGAGCGGCTCCCCCCCTCGGCCCCCCTGGCAAAGCGGAATCCGCGCCGGAAACCCAGTTCTGGAAGACAGTTAAGGAAAACAGTGGAAAGCCACCAGCTCCCGGTCCCTCAGGCCAACGCTCAAGGCCACCCCCTGGTCCTTGCGGTGACGTCTGCACAACTTCAGTCGTTCAGCTGCACCCGCATCTGGGACACGACAGAGACCTCGGCAAATGTGACAGCAGCGTGACAGCCCCGAAGGCGGGGGGAGCAGGCAAACACAACCCACAGAACACACTAGCCCCCTCCCAGGGAGCGCCCACGTCTTCACGCCGGACCTTCGGGAGGGCAGAGGATGGGGAGGGGACGCGAGGCCCCGACCCGGCTGCAGGCCCTCCTCGTGCACGACAGTCGGCAGCGATTCCCAAAGCAGCAGCGATCACCAGGCGCATGCGAGACTCCTCTCACGGGCAACCCCGGGTACCCAGGGCCGAGGGAAAGGACATCAGAACCCAGCACCCACTGTCAGCCGCCAGTCGGGGCATCTTCAGACAGACGAGCCCTTAGGGAAGTGGCCACCAGAACCACAGACTCGTCTGCAGAAAGAGCTTCTGGAATAATGTGCCAGAGACACAGGCAGACGCACACCCGGAACAGGAGGGGCCGAGCACTCTGCTCACGAACTCGCTCCCCACGCCCAGCCAGCTCTGCCGGCCGAGGACCGGCAGACGCAACGCACAGCTGGAACACGCCCTGCTGAAGCCGCTGCGGCAGGGACCTGGCAGGGACTCAGCTCCGGGCCAGTGTGCCCCGACAGCAGCCCCCAGAGGCCCCGCAGGACGGCTGGCCCAAAGCACACCCCCTCTTGACCAGCAAGTCAAGGTTCTGTTGTCTTTAGCAGGGAAAAGACTCTCATCCTGAGACGCGTGTGGGCGAGGAGAACGTGAACAAAACGTGTGAAGGGAACACTTCGGGAAGGTCTGGATTAGAGGCTGGAGGTGAGCCATGCACAGCGTGCAGGCAAGCGAGTGGCGGCTGTCCGAGGTGACTCGGTTTCCTCCTAATGTCAGGACACCCTGTGCTGAGCGGGCGCCGTTTCCCAGGCCCAGGCCTCCTCCTGCACCCCCTCCCGCCACACGCAGGCGCACACACACACAGCAGTTCACCTGTCCCCTGCGAATGCACCCAGCACTGCAGCCACCTTGCAAAACGGGTGTTAGCACCGCGGCACCCAAGCACCGGTCCTCCTTGACATCTCCACCACGAATGAGCGGCACGCACCCCGGCTTTTCAGGAACTCGGGGGTCCACTGCCTTCACATCGTGGAGATCCTCACCACGCAGGGCAAGGCAGGAATACGGCGTTTGAACTGGAACTCTACACCCGGAGCTTCGACCCCAACCCCCACCCGACACACCTAAGCTGTCGGGGCCAGCTGTCACGAGAGCCAAGTCGCTCGAAGGACTTTAAAAGGGTAGCGATTGGGGGAGCAACCGGGCAAACGTGCAAGCAGCTGCCCCGAGCCAGGCCCCCTGAAGCCATTTTCCTCTCCCCACGACCATGGGGGGCCATCCTCCCCAGAACAAACTAAGACTCACCCAGAGGTTCACCCAGGGTGACACCGCTACTGGGTGTCCACGTCAGAATTTGAAAAGCAAGCAGGACCCAAAATCCCAGGCGCCGGCTTTACGCCGCCGCTGTTTGACTGGAGAACCCAAGCGTGTAATGCGAAGGCAGGTTGGGTGGGGTGCGGGGGGGCCCCAGCAGGGGAAGGAAGGGGAGCAGGGCCAGGCGTCTCCAGCTGGCAGAGGGCAGCGCGGAGCCCAGGCCGGCGGGCCTGCTGCGATCTCCGCTGGACGCGGAGCAAAGGGTTCCCCAAGGCGTCCAGAGCCCCGCCAGGGACGGGCTCCCAGCCATCCTCAGCTTCAGCGTTCGCTGTCGCCTCTCAGTCGAGCAGCTCTGACTCACGACATTCTTCCCTTCGCCTTTCTGAACTTGACATTCCCTTTGATCAGTGAGAGAGTGGAGGCAGCGTCCTGGGGTGCTGGGGAATGTGGGTCCAGCGGCTCTGGGCCGGCCTCCGAGGTCGCTGGCTCCCCAGAGGGGGCGGGGGCGCCTTGCTCGGGGTCTTGGGAAAGGAGCGGATCTCAGCCTTCATCTAATCGCCCTGAGAAAGCGTCTTCACACCCCCACCCAAGAAAACCCTTCAGAGGTTGCCAGCGTCGTCATCGG